ACGACGTTGGCAATCCTTCTCTCGGCTATGGCCCACGCGGGAGTGCTGGCCTCTTCGCGTCACTTGGTGGTAAGGAGCTTGTTCCGTGTGTCGATGACCGCGTGTGGGCTATGCGCGGTCTACATCTTCTTCCATGGTTGGCACTGATGGTCGCTCTGCTCTCCCCCGTCCTCCATCCTTCCTTATTTTCTTCCCCCTCCCTCATTTCAAGCTTATCGATGGCCTACGTCCCGCCTGCCTGCCCGGGTGACGCCTCCGGTCTGGGCGTGGACCACTGACCCCAGTGCCATCCCAAGGGACAGGCGGGCTGCGCCAGCGCGTCATGGTAGGCGGGATGACGACGACGACTGCGACGGGCGCCGTGGGCGCGACGGTGGCGGCCCTCGTGAGGGCTGGGGCGCCCGTTTGCGCCGCTCGATCTCCCGGAACGCACGCGACCGGCAGCAGGACAACGGTCAAGTCCGCTCCAGACACCGCTCGGGTGGGCACAGGCGCGTCGGTGCCCCTTCTGACATCCAGCTCGCGCCGACTACTGGTCAAGTGGAAGGGCACGCCTCCGGTCTGCTAGGTGGCTCCAACTCCGAAGACGGTGAGGCTCGAACTCCAACCTATCCTGGGCCGCCAGTCTGCGGGCGCCCGTGGGCGCAGCCCTTCTCATCAGGCCTCTCCCCGCGCTGCCAGGAGGCGATCTCAGGAGGCCCCTCACCCCGCCGGCGTCCCCAACATCTCTGTTGTCGGTGATCCCGAGATCGAACCGCGCCGGGGCGCAGAACTCGCCGCTGCTCAAGGCCGATACAACTTTGATCAGGCTCTGGTCGCCCAGTATGCTCCAGTGGCCCATGCCATCACCCTCCAGGCCGCCTGGATTCGAAGCTTCCCCACGCCGCCGCTGGTCAGTGATGGCCCCGTGCAGCGAACCGCATCTCCTGGGCTCGATGGTGCAAGGGGACGCGGTGGCGCTGGCCATCTTTGCGGAGCGTCAGCCGGGCCTCCTGGCTCCGCCCGGTTACCTGCCGTACCTCAGCAGGGTCCTTTCAGCCGGGCCTCAGAAAGCAGAAAAGTTGCACGAGTTAAGCAAATCATCGTATTTCACCTTTGAATTCATCCCAACATTTGTAAGCAACATCCATCGTATTAAGAGGACAAGAAGACTTTAATCAAGCGAATAAGTATTGTTTTGTTTTCCCCCGAAACAGAGCAGAGCAGCTCCTCCTCCTGTGTTTTTTCTCTGCATGCATCCTCTGGAGCACTTGAGACCATAAAAACCATTATGTTTTCTCTTGCATTCTGACTGTCAGAATTTTTTGTCGTGTTTCTTCCTAGCTAGTAGCACAATCTTAACTGAATAATAAGCTCCCTGACCTGAAAAACATAACATATATAGAGTTAATTACATCTGTACTACAAGAACTTGCAGTGAATTAACAGAATCATACATAAACTAAAAAAACCCCAGAAAAATAGTACACTAATTTATCTAACAACACATTTTGGTACAATTTCCGTCAACTCTAACGGCGCACCGCCTACCGCTGTTAACTGCGTGTATGTGGCCCTGGCGTTCTCTCTGTACCATGTGTGGGTCCATTTGTCAGTCAGGTAGGGAAATAAAAACAACGACAAAAACTACGCGCACATATGTGAATCGAACCCGAGACGTACCGCCATTCAGTCAAGTGCGCGACCACTCGACATTCCATTCGTACGTACTACATTGTTGAGGCGAATTTGTATATATATACATTTAGATTAGACACGTGTTGATTTTTTCTGACTGTTTTTTTTGTACGTGTTTTTTTGGATTTATTTTATCTTTTCACAGGTATTCTTCGGTTTTTCCTGTGCTTTGCACATTTCTTTTCTATATAGGTTTTGCAATGTATGATGAATTTTTATTCAATACAGTGGAAGGATTAGAGCAACTCTAGCAGACCCCGCAAAACGCCTCGACCCGCAAAATAACCGCCAAATTGCGGGTCGGGGCCAAAAAATCTGCACGAGCAGACCCCGCATCCCGCCCCGGCCCGTAAATTTTTTTGCGGGGCGCGGCAAATCTTCTCCCTCAACCTCTATCTTCACGGGCTGGGAGACCGACCCGAGCTCAACCCCTATCCCGCGCGAGATTTGGCGGGAGGGACATTTCCGCGCAGCCCTTCCTGCTCCCCGCACCCTCCGCCACCATTGCCCACACTCCGCAAGCTCCGGCTGCTCCTCCCCGGCCATCCCTCGCCGCCATGGACGACCCCATGCTGTCCCCCGTCACCGTCGAGGTCGTGCACCCCCTTTCCCTCGGGCGGATCTCGTCGCCGGCCATGTTGGCCCCGCCGCCATCGCCCAACCCCACGTCGCTCCTGCCCGCAAGCGGCAGGGCAACGTGGTCGTGCAAGGCGGGAATCCGGCTGCCCCGCCGCGATGGCCCGCGCTCCGGGCACCAACACGGCAGCGCGATCCCGGCCGGCGACGGAGAAGGTCGGCAAGGTCGCGGGCGTAAAGCGGAGGAAGGTTCCGGCTTCAAAGAAGCCACCTTCTTCAACCTCTTGCTCCATCCTGCCGCAAGGAGGTGCTCCGGCGATGCCGTTCAACGGTGCCGCTCCCCCCGTGAGCGAGGTGTTCGACGAAACGGCCGGAAGGTATGCGTCTTTGGTCTTGGCGATTCCCTTTCATTTTTCGCCAGTATTCTCGATAGCGCGTGACTTGTTATCGTTCGCTATAGCGGTGGTTCGAATAATGCAACAACCGAGTTCATGAACTTGTTGGACACGAATGCGGTTGACATTGATCAAGCCCCTTTCGAACCATTCGACTATAATGAAACGGAGGGCGGCGTGGATGATCATGGCTGTGCGGACGAATTGGAGGAGATCAAAGCGGAAGCGTTTGAGCAATCACAAGCAAAATCTGGGAAAAGCATAAGATCGAAGAACTACACGATCTTGGAAGATCAAGCTTTGATTCAAGCATGGAGTGCGGTGTCTCTTGATGCATGCACGGGTAGTTCTCAAACTTCCAAGAGATATTGGCAAAGGATTGAAGATCAATACTTTCGCATTATGGCAAAGCATCCCAATAGGACTCCACTCACATTTCGGTCGCTTCAAGGGCGTTGGGAGAATATCAAGCCTATGTGCAGCCGTTGGGCAGCTTGCTTGGAGCAAGTACGCAATGGACCTCCAAGTGGAACCATGGAGTCCGACTATGTGAGTTTGTTTTGCCTTTGTTCAAATTGTGCATCATCATATTGCATCATGGGAAATGATTGGATCACTTTGTTCACATTGTGTAGGACAAGATTGCTCAACATAGATACAAGGACATGGAAGCTTCGGAAGGCAAAATTTTCAAACTAGAGCATTGTTGGGAGTTGCTCCAAAAGTGCGAGGAGAGGGAGTTGGTCGACAAAGAATCCCCACCAAAGAGAGGCTCACTTACAAACATGGATGAAGATGAGGATGATGATGGCCCAAGAAATTTGCACAAGCCCGATGGCGACAAGAAGACCAAGGAGAAGATGAAGAGAGAGCAAGAAGCATCAAGCTTGAGAGAGAAGATTGATGCCATGTGCAATCCAACGACTTGATGTTGTTGAAATCGTTGGAGATCAAGAAAGAGTTGGCCGAGAAGAAGGCGAAGGAGAAGCAAGGAAAGTGGAAGTTGCTCAAGGAAGAGGGGCTTCGCAAAGTTGCCATCGAGGAGAGAAGAGCACGCGCCGCGGAAAACAAATCTATGTCCATGTTGCTCGCCGAAGAGAACAAGATCATGTCAATGAACCGCAATGACATGGACGACCTCACCAAAACATGGCATGATATGGCAAGGAGAGAAATCTTGAAGAGAAGAATGGTGGCGTCGGCCGGTCCGTGCTACAGTTCCGGTGATGTTTTCTCCGCTTCATATGGTGGCAATGCGGATGATTTCGGTGCGGGGGTTCGAACAAGCGCCGGAGGTGGATTTGGTAGCGCCGATGAACTCCAAGGTGGACTTAATGGCACGGAGTGAAGATCGATTAAGATGATGCCGGACATGGACGCAAACCTTTTGCAGGGCCCTCTTTTGCATTAGCCGTAATGAACTTGGCTTCTATTTGCGTGTAAAACAGTTTATGTTGTTTGAATTTGAACTTGTTTGTGAAACCCTATGTCAAATGCAAGATTTGCAGTTTATCTATTTGCGGGTCGTCACGGTGGGGTGTCCGAGCAGAACCCGCATAGCGAACCCGTAAAAAAGCATATTCCACGAATATTTTTTTTATGGATTCGTTTAGGGGTCTGCATCTGTGCCAGCCCGCGCCGGCCCGCAAAAATGGTTTTGCGCGAACTGCAAACGCATTTTACGAACCGGCGGGATGCGGGGTTTGCTAGAGTTGCTCTTAGTTAAGGCGATGTAAAAAGGTTGTCCTTGGGGCTAATCACCGTGACAGCATACACCTAAAATTCAATTTGGTCTGTTAGAGTATGTCTAGTAGTCTTCTTAAAAAGAGGCGACCCGTAAAATTCTGATGACTATACGGGTTTGGTCCATTTGTCGGTTATACTAGAGCCCGTGTAGTCACCTGGCCCGTAAACCGCCCCCCTCCCCCCTACACACGCAGTATATGTACAGGTTTTTCGCTGGAATACAGGTTGAGACCCTATCCGCGCGCTGCCGCATTTCTCAATCTTCCTCTCAATTTCTTGCCGCCCGAGACTTCAATTTCCCCTCTCCCCTCTTGATGTGGCGCGGAATGTGGTTGCCCGGCCGTGGTGTCGGCGGTGGCGACGACTCCAAGCGGAGGCGATGCGTCGTGTCAGACGGCGCGAGGAAAAGGTTTGCCCGTAGGTACACCAACCACGGCCTATCGCCGCCGCCGTCGCTCCTTCGCCATGAGATGGAGGAGTACGATCGCAGGCAGGCGCTCCTCCGTCGCGGTTTGTCCTTCCGCTCCACTGCGAGCAGCTCCTTTGCCGGTGCCTCGAGCTCGCAGACGCCGCTCATGCCGGTCAAGAGGGAGCAGGAGGAACTCCCGCAGCTCCGCGTGGTGAAGAGGGAGCCGGAGCGGCAAGGTGCTGGCGTCATTGGGCCGGAGGATTACCTCCCTCGGCGGAGGCAGACGTCTTAGAGGCCGCCATCGTCGCGCAGTGCACAGGAAGAGGAGGAGGAGGAGGAGGAGGCGGAGCAACGCCGTCGACGGGAAGCCGACCTCGACGCAGTCCTCCTCGAGCAGGGGCTCATGAAGGTGCAGATGTTCGACAACAACTTGGAGGCATGGCGCCGCGAAGCCAAGGCGCATGACGACATCTACATCGACCTCGTCATAGATAATAGCAGTTTAATTGGAGGTACTCTTTTTTAGTCATTTGTTCACCCAAAATCCGGCTTTTGTTTTTTGGAAACTATATATTAAAATTGAAATGTATATATTTTAGAAAATTTTCTAATATGTGTTTTTATAAAGAAAGTTCAGTACATGTAAAAAAAATTCATCGTATATTAAAAATGTTTATTTACGAAATGGTCATCATATAAATTAAATAGATCATTGTATATTAAAAATGCTCAATGTATATAACAAAATTGTTAATTGTATATTATACAATAATGTTCAGTGTGTATCTGTAGAATAATTTTCAGTCTGTATTTAAAAAATATTTATTGTATAGTAAAAAGTTCAGTGTGTATTTGAAAAAAATGTTCATCATATATTGAAAGAAAGTCAACAGAGTATTGAAAAAAAGTACACCATTTATTACAAAACCTATATTAAAAAGAAATGTGCAAGAAAAAAGGGAAAAGCTGAAGAGTTCCCAAGATCTGGAAAAATATTATAGAAATCCGAAACGAAAAAACGCACAAGCAAAAAAATAAAATGAAACGGTCAAAAAAGGTCAGCATACGTCTAAATTAAACGTATAGAAATGAACCTGCCTCCATTACGACAGAAGCAAGGCTGTGGCGTAGCGGTTAGCGCGCACATGCAAGCGTTTTGGTAGC